TAAATGTCAAGTTAATCAGAAAACATAACATATTTATCATCAGTAAGTTTTCTAAGAGAGATGGGTGCTCTTAAGATAAAGAACAGCACAAAGGGAGACCCAATCTAGGTTCCAACAAAGAAGAAAGCAGAGAAAAGTACTGCTGGTGAATTTTTCTCTCAAGTAGAATAATCCAGAACTGTACCTCTAACAACCACATCTCCTCACAAATAAGCTATCAGCAGATGAACCAGCCAAGTCCCTTTGGTCCCACTTCCCTAGTCCTAACAAAAAGCTTTAAAAGCAAGAACAGAAGAAATAAACATGATACTTCAAAAGTCTTTGCGCCTCCTAACCCCAAAGAATTTAACTTGATGTTAAAACTTAAAAAAATTTACAGAGTGACAATCTGTTCTCTCAGTATTAGAAATATAATACAAATATCCAGGTAAAACTGCATATTGACTGAAACAATATACTAAAGTAAACCAAAGAAATACAAATGATGGGTATCAGACCATTTTTTGCTTTAATAAATGGAAGAAGTAGGGTGAAGCTGAATAAAATGTGACAGGGTGAATAAAAAAAGAAGGTGAAGAAGGGCAATAGCCCAGAAAGATATAAAAGGAGAAAGCCAAGATATAAAAGGAGAAAAAAGATATAAAAGGAGAAAGCTAGACACAAATTTGAAAGATTTCTCATTTTGCCTAGGATTTGCCTCAATCATACATGGTTGCCCTACATAAAAACTTCTGTCTTAGCAAGAATCATTAGCAAGATATCACAGCACTGAACCACTTCATTTATGAATATCTGTATTCCAACATCTAACTCTGTTGTAAAGATACTTTGTTCCCAAGTAATTTCTCATTGGAAATTTTAATGCTTGTCTAGATCACATCTGTGATTCACAGTGACTCACAAAACTACTCCTTCTCGTAACAGTGGTCAAATTTAATTTTATCTATCTTGCTATTAAGGTTTACTCATGTAATAATCTCTTGTATATTAACTCCTACATTTAACAAAACTCAAATAATGGTTACTTTTTCTATCTATAAAATTAGGCATTCCTAATATGGCAAATAAAAGAAAATCAGTGCTTCTCAAACATCAAAAAAGATTACTTTTTTAAAAACCTCCTATACATCATGGTCCTATAATTTTGTAAAATAAAGATAAATCACTAGAAAAACGATTCCATAATTGAATGTCACGGTATTATCAAATTGTTACAGAAGTATCTAGACATTTATTTTCAGTGTTTATCTCCTAACAGACAAGTCTCTAGACTAGCCCTGGTCCCATGACACATTATGAGTAGTACTGCCCAAAGGCGTACATTCTCACCACACAAGTTTCTCATATAGTTAACAACAGTTATACAGCCCAGATATATGGCTGTGACCCTTCTGTACCCTTTTTTGTTGTTGTTGTTGTTGTTGTTGTTGTTTTTGAGACAGGGTTTTGCTCTCTCACATAGGCTGGAGTGCATCGGAGTGATTATGGCTCACTGCAGCCTCCACCTCCTGGGCTCAAGTCATCCTCCTACCTCTCAGCCTCCCGAGTAGCTGCAACTACAGGCGTTCACCACCGCTCCTGGCTAATGTTTTTGGTTTTTAGTAAAGACCAGGTCTCACTACATTGTCCAGGCTAGTCTTGAACTCCTGACCTCAAGTGATTCTCGAGCCTCAGCCTCCCAAAGTGCTGGGATTATAGGCACGAGCCACTGTAACAGACTGTACTATTTTTCACATCCCACATTTTCCTTGAAGTTCCTAAAGATACTAAGGCCCTCAGCCATATTTTCTTAGCTTATCTATGATTCTCAGAATGGAGAAGAATTAAGAGTTTACTAAAGCTCCTGCCTCTACCACTTGTAAGCAAGCATACCTTTTGCCTAGGTATCTTTGCCTCTATACATTCCTCATCCACAAAAAACCCAATTCAAAACATCTTTTCTCCAGAAATTCTTCAGGATCTAGAGAATTCTTTGCTACCTAGTGATCATCAAATATTTAAATTGGCACTAATTAATATGCTGCTGAGTAAATGTTCTCTTATAGGTTCATGTGTTACATCTCCAATTAGATTTTACAGAAGAAAAAAAATTCAGTCCTTCATTTTCAATTTGTCTACATAGCATACAGTTAAACTGCCTACTACAAAAATACGTGACTAATCTGACCCCAGTAAATCACATAATCCCACAGGCAAAAGTTAGCATATCTGGTTCAGAGATTAGCCCAACTGAGATTTTCAGAAAATAATTTACCTCACTAGCTATGATATAGTGGTAAGCACAGTCTAACTATCTGTTCTCCTGTATCATTATAAAACAAAGTATCACTAAGCAATCATGCTAGCCTGCTGAGATAAATTTGGAGTTGCGATATTCATATAATTTTGAGTTACTTCCACTAAAATTACTTCGTTAATTCACTATGGGTAATATGCCATACTCCTATGCCAAGAGTATTTCTAATGTAAAGAGATTTTGAGATTTGAAACCTTCTCAACTTAACCATTAACGATTTTAAAATATATGCAACCTGTACTCACATAGATTCTAACTATATTGCTCACTACTGGAAAAACTCTGTGTCCCTAGATTACACATCATTTTAAACATAAATGGCAAGAAAAATATGGTCCTTCAAGCTATAGGAATATATGAACCACAAATTTCTAGGTAGAAAGGGACATGTGGATGCTTTCAATTTAGACAGACATTAAGTTTTAGAGATGAATGACACCACAGCAACTATGGTAATGATAAGGTCATGCTCTGCATTTCACAGATGGGATGATTCCAGCCTAGAAAGTTGGCCAAAGGTCACAAAACGGGAGATCCGGGGCCTCAAATACCACAGTAGAGTGCTCATTTTTTTATATTAGTCCGCTTCCATTGGATATATTCTAATGTCTCTCCAAATATGTAGGTCACATTTCTAGTAACAATTTATTATTTTCAAATTTCTAGTAACATTTCTAGTAATATTTTATTATTTTATAATAAATTATAAAAAGAATAGGTACTATATATTCTCAATTTCTAATAATTTTCATTATTTTCTCAAAAGTAAATGTCAGGAGCTCTAAATCATGTATTTCCACTTTAAGACACATCCCACTAACCTCTTATATTAGAAATACTTTTAAACATTAATTTGTCATTCTAGTTTCACTTTCTACTCATACATCTGAAATGCCAGTTATTAACTGATTTTTTTTTTTTTTTTTTTGTCTAAGACAGGGTCTCACTCTGTTGTCCAGGCTGGAGCGCAGTGGCATGATCTTGGCTCACTGTAGCCTCAACCACCCAGGCTCAAACAACTCTCCCACCTCAGCTGGCACTACAGGTGTGTACTACCACACCTGACTGATTTTTTTTATTTTTATTAGAGATGGGGTCTTGGTATGTTATACATACTGATCTCTAACTCCTGGGCTCATGCAGGTCTCCCGCCTTGGCCTCCCAAAAGTGTTGGGATTATAGGCCTGAGCCACCTTGCCCAGTCAAGTTAACTGATTATTACTTTTTAAATGAGAAAAAGTCATTAGGGAAATACCTAAGAAAATTTTAAAACTTTGTTTTCCCGTAAAAAGCTCTAGATAACTTGATTTCCAGGTTGTGTTTGCTTTTCAGCATTTTACTGCTTGTTTCCACATTGTTAGGCTTTGTTTATTGTCCTGGGTCTGTTTCTACCCAACTCTATTATTACTTCTAACATATGGATTTAGAAACCAAATATTCCAGTTTATAAGAAAAGTATGTAAAGCAGGAGTAAATTTATCCATGATAAGAGCCTATAAGGAAATCCATTAAATTAAACCCACAGATTTCAGTCTATCAATTCTAGTTGCTAAAAAGCATTTTGTAATTACCTTCTCATTCTCATCTGTCTCAAAATGGAAATAACATTAGATACATGAGGTTTTAATATAATTTATATCGGTCCTCATAAGTTTTTTTTGTCTTAAGAAAATCTAGTCTTTCTGAATTTTTAAAACTACTTTATTGAGGTCTGATTGACACGTAAAACGCTATACATATTTAATGTCTTCAATTCAATGAGTTTGGGGATAACTATACACCATGAAGCCATCACCGCCACCTTCTTGAATTTATTTCATTTTATACTATCTGCTGATCAGATCCTTCTTAAAAGTATCTTAAGTTCATATCAGCTATTCTAAAATTTAATATTCATGAGATATATTGACATATTTTATCTTCATTTCTGAGCTTTAGTTAATTTTATATTTATTACTCTCATTAAATTTTGGATCTTTCTTCCATTACTTAGGAAACAATGTTATAACTTTATAATAACTTCCACCAAGATTTACAACCTGTTTAACATCTTTCACTGGTCCTAACCAAAAAAGACTATCTTCTCTAGATGATTATTAGTATTAACAAGATTCTCATTAAGACTCAAAGGCATCAAATTATTCAGCTTGTCACAACATCAGTCCTTATAAAATACTTCAAAAATCCATACATGGTCTATCAATCTAAATTCCAAATAAAATTAAATTTCTAATGTGAAGAGATTTTCAACTTTTTAAACTGTTGGGCCAATTATGAAAAGTTGAAAATTTTAAGTTTGCCTTGTAATGAGGAGTAAATTAGGGAAGAATCTTTGAAATTTAGATAAAGCCATCAAAAAATAAAGTTTAAACATGATGAATATGCTTACAATGGGTCACATTAACAGCAACTATAACATTAAATTAGATGTTATCTTAAAAACAGAATACATTGAGATAAATAAAATGAACAAAAATAAGCAGGATTTCATCCCTTCACACAAAATCTCTATTCCATGCAGAGATCAAATAAATTTCCACATATAAAAAGATAAAGAAAAAGGATTTAAAAAAACGCAGGAAAAACACTAAAGCCCATAAAAAGCTCTCCCTCCACTTACGAAAACATTGACACTACATAGGTAACAATGCCAACATCACTTCTAAATTCCATTTAGTTTAATTCAAGTTTCAATTTCACCTACCTTTCGTCTCTGAGAGATGTTGAGGGCACCAAAGTCATTAAACAAGGATGAAGCAGGTGAAGTTAGAGGATCTGAAAGGTAAGTTACGTAAGTTTCCACACATAAAAGTCGGGTAACCCACAAATCTAGTAACTGTTTAACTGGACAATGCCTATATAATAAAAATCAAATGACACAATAATTAAACTTAGTACCTAACACACAGTTATGTTCAAATATTTTCCGAGCAAATGAAACACAAACTGGTGAACTAATTTGCTCAAATATTCAAAAGCTATATGGATCAGGATAGATCTATTTGTATAGAACCAAAAGAAAAATCAAATAGAGAAAAAAACCTCTTAACCATACTATTGTGTGTGTTTATGAAGGCAGTAAGTTGACTGCCCCCACCCTCCTCTATAAATAAAGGTTTATAATCTTGAGACCAAATCTTGGGAAGGATAAAAAGGAGGGTGGGGGGGTGGGGCAGTGTCAACCACAGACTCTGAGAGATCCTGTCTTGGATTTCAACTCATCAGCAAGGCTTTAAAACCAGCTACTCTACAAACTATTCCATATTTTAAAGTCTATCACCAGATATTTGATATTACTAAAAAGATAAAGTAAAATATCAAGTTGTTAAAGACAGAAATAATAAATTTTTCAAAACACAAACATGAAATCCAAAGATTTTGTAGGTTCAAAATTCCACTACTCTGCAGAAAGAAGTTACAAACAAAATTATATATCTTAATTATTTCTTACTTTACAAATGAGAAGAGTCTCCGAAAAGGCATGCATGAGATATACCGAAATATTTATCTTCATTTCTGAGCTTTAATTTTTTATTTATTAATCTCATTACATGCTCTGCTAAATCCTAAAAAATATATTAAATGCCCTTATGTAAAGGAACCTTAAATCTCTTCACAATGTAGTACAAATAGACTGCTGATTCATTTCTCTGCCTTCTTCTTCCTGGGTTTTCAGACTCACCTTCATTAAAATTAACATGAATTTAATATTAAATAACTAATAGTGCAAAGGGCAAGATGTTAACAAAATAGCTTGACAAAATTTTTTTATATAACTTACACACTGACTGTTCTTTAATAATAGAGACATGGTCTTGCTATATTGCCCAGGTCAGTTTCAAACTCCTGGGCTCAGTCAATCCTCCCACCTGAGCCTCCAAAACTGCTGGGATTACAGGCATGAGCCACCACGCCTGGCTTGAGATCTAAATCTCAATAGTTAGATCTGAGTGGGAAGATAATAATTTTTATTTTCTTCTTTATACCCGTTTATAATTTTCAACATTTCTACAATGGTTGTATATTTAGAGTAAGAAATATATACACAGACACACACAAGCAAAAGGGAACATGTCTTACCATGGCCTGAATATGGCTTGGCACTGTCGTTTAGAAGGCTTGGGGAGCTGCTACTATTAGTCATTCTCTGAAAAACAAAATATGTATTTATAACACCACTGAGGAATACAGAAATAAAAGTATCCAACCAATTAACACCGGCTCTCTTTGCTTCTTCCCCTCCAATCTACTGTTCACATTACTGATAATCTAATCTTCCTATAAATGTTACTGCTTGGATTACAACTATGTAAAAACCACCACATGAAATGAAAATTTTACTCACTACCCAGGTATTTAAAGCCAAAGCTACAGACGTATTTTGAATTGTGCTTCCATAACTTATTAGCCTGGGCAAAACACATAATTAAGTTTCCTTGTCTGTAAAACATAAATTCCAATATCCACTGAGGAGGGTACATGCTGACTATGAATAAAACCAGTAAATGCTCTAATATCCTTTCTCAATTTGTACTATCATTCATACACCTTACACAGCTTATAAAAGTAGGATATTTTCTGTTCTCTAAACACGTTCTATGCTTTCTGGACTCACTGCATAGCCTGTATGGTCTCTCCATCTTGTAAGGTCCTTCATCCCATGCCCACAAATCCTTGTCTCATATACAACATCTAACTCAATGCCTTAAAAATTATAAGTTAGGAATTTCTAGCTCTGGCTTTAATTCTAGAGTCCTGAATCTGTTTGCTCAACTTCTTATTTAATGTCTGCATAATTTTAACAGAGAAGAAAAAAGCTAAGTTCCTGAGGTAATTTTAATACAAAAATATATATTAAAAAGTACCTGAAATTGTGGCTCACGGGCAGTTAAAAGAAGGTACAACTATACAATAAACTAGTTACATTGTTCATAAAATATAACCATTTCTATATATGGCTGTACATGTTTGTTTATAAACAACCTTTAGAGTGCATAGCTACAAGAAATAAATAAAAGTTAAAATAATTCAAAAAAGCATTGGTTTCATACAGACCCTTAAAATCAGTTCAGCTTGAAGTATAAACACTAGGCCAGGAGCAGTGGCTCATGCCTGTAATCCCAACCTGTAATAACCTCCTTTGGGAGGCCACAGCAGGAGGATCACTTGAGACCAGGAGTTTGAGACTAGCCTGGGCAACACAGACCTCATCTCTGCTAAAATTATTTTTATTAGCCGGGCATGGTGGCACACACCCGTAAGTCCTAGCTACTCAGGAGGCTGAGGCAAGAGAGGAGTATCACTTGTGCCTAGAAGGTTGAAGCTGCAGTGGGCCACGATCGCACCACTGCACTTCAGCCTGGGTGACACAGTGAGCGAGCGAGCGAGAGCGAGAGAGAGAGAGAGAGAGAGAGAGAGAGAGAAATGTGTTCAAATATCGTATTGTAATACTGGAGAAAACCATCCAGTAGTACATAACAGAAACTAGAAAGGACAATACGTTGCCTTTACTATTATGGCAGTTTTCCAATTAAAAACACTAGAATACTTGCCAATTTTATTCCAATTCTACAAAATTGTGCAATACTAATCAACAAAAACTAATCTAAAAACAAATCTCCTAAGCATTGCATGCAGTCATATGATAAACAAAGGGGAAAAAAAGAGCCAAAAACAACAAAGTGGGGTCAAAAAAAATTAAAAGACATTTTTAATGTAAAATGCCCCAAGTACTATGACTTTAAATTTAACATTTTAAGCATTAAACAAAATAAAACTAGCACTATGCTTCTATAATGCAAAGAGTATTCCTGAGAGGATACACAGGAAACTTGTAACCAGTAATGGTAGCTACCCCTAGGAAGGTTAACTGGAAAAGTGATGAGTAACGACGGAAGGGAGGCCCTTTTGTAACTTAACTTTCATAATACATGTATAATCTGCTCAAAACATAATTTTAAAATTGCTATCGACCAGGCGTGGTGGCTCACGCCTATAATCCCAGCACTTTGAGAGGCCAAGGTGGGCAGATCATAAGGTCAGGAGTTCAAGACCATCCTGCCTAACACGGTGAAACCCCGTCTCTACTAAAAATACAAAAAAATTAGCCGGGCGTGGTGGCGGGCACCTGTAGTCCCAGCTACTCGGGAGGCTGAGGCTGAAGAATGGCGTGAACTCGGGAGGTGGAGCTTGCAGAGCTGAGATTGCGCCACTGCGCTCCAGCCTGGGCGACAGAGCAAGATTCCGTCTCAAAACAAAACAAAACAAAATTGCTATCACTACCAAGTTTAACTAACAAACAAACAAAACACACAAGTGAAATTAGTCTCTAACTACCCTCTCTACATACTCCCGTCACTCTTGCCCCTAACCCTACCAAACACCCACTTATAAAAGCTCTCATTAACTCCAACCCCATGGGAGATAGTTTACCTACATCTCACCCATCTCACTGCCTCCTAAAATCTCACCTCCCACTCAATAAATGTAGGAATAAATGAAGACTCTATATGTCCCCTGGTCCTAGAATAAACTGCATAGTGCAACATGAATTTATACTGAGGATACCTGCATCAGGGGATATTTTGTTTCTACAGGGCTTCCAAATCCATTGACTCCAATAAAGCTGGTGCTAAAATAGGAATCTGTGAGACTTGTATCAGTTAAAGCACCTCCATCCATTCCTGGAACTGAAAGAGAAGGAAAATTCAAGTATTTAAAATTATTTCAGAGGATGAAACATTGATTTCACTTCTGTGTTCCTAAATAAGTTGTAAAGTCTCAAATCTGTCACACTTATTTTTATTTACCAGTTTATAAAAGGCAGGATCAAATAAAATTGGCTTGGCTCTAGAAATCTGTTAAACAGTGCTCAAGCTGACTAATTACTTCCCACAGAAATAATTTATTTTCTATGAATCACAAAATAGCCCCCAGACACAATATGATTAAGTTTCTACCACCTGCATTTCCAGTTTCCTCATCAAATTTTCTTTCTTCAACTCAGTAAAAGGACAACAATTTCTCCTGTAAACTACTGGATGGTAAACAGAAGCAATTTTCTCAAGACGGTTTCTCACAACACATCTTTTGAAACAAACCAGCAGGCTCACACTAACTCAAAATTCAGCGGGAAAAAATTCTGCAGAGGTAGCAATAGGATGGAATTCAGGAATACTGACAGTTCTTTTTAGAGTTTAGGGTAGGACGATACTGAAGGACTCTAAAACTATTAGGGCAATCAACGGGACACTGTGTCTTAGATGTTACTTCCTAATAAGTACTTAGCATGCAGCTATTTTCTAATCTGCCAGTTTAACAATAACATGGGCTGCAAGTAGGCTTGCTCTTCTCCAGGCAGTCATTGAGAAACCCCCTTCAACCCCAGTAAGAAGCAAACTACAAAAATGTGGATAGAAGGGATGTTGGGTCTCTTTGGAAAACAATGAGGTAATTTTTATTTTCTTCTTTTTAAAATTTATTTCCCAAAACATCCATAATGAAAATGTACTGCATTTACAATTATAAAAAGTTTATTCTAATGGTTCATATCTTTTAGTGATTACAACTTCAGGATATGGCTGAAGAATATCATCAGAAACACCTAAATATTTATATATAAAAAAGTTCATCTTTAACAAGGAATTAGAAACAATGGGAAATGGGAAAAAACAAAGAACTATTTATTATTTGAAGAATGCAAACCCTTTTAATATCAGGCCCAGAGAGGTATTAAAACGAGACAGCAGTCACAGCCTACTCCCCACTTTGAGCTACGTGCTCATCTCTTGAAACTGCCTGCTATTGCCAAAAGTAGCTATAAATTAACCTAATAATGCCACATTGGACACTGTAACCATCACCCTACAGCTTAACAATGTATAGCTGAATCAATGTTAATTTCTGTAAGCCAATGAGAATTCCTGACACACTTTCACTCCCCGTCCCCCTATTTTACCTTTAAAAATCCACTACAGCTAATCAGAGGATATATTCAGGGCAACTTGAGTCTGTGCTCCTGGGTTGCAATCCTCAAGTTTGACCCAAATAAACTCTCTACTTTTCTTCTGTTTTTGTAGAGATGAGATTTTGTTATGATCCTCAGGCTGGTCTCGAACCCCTGCCCTCAAGTGATCCTCTCATCTCGGCCTCTTTAAGTATTGAGATTACAGGGCCACTGTGCCTGGCTGACTATTTATATTAATTTTGCCTCAGCTTCTTCCTTGTAGGTCGACATGTCTAACAACAGAAGAATGATTAAGTAAATCCACTGAAAAACTACCATGAAATAATTTAAAGTCATGGTAATTAATGTCCAGGATATGTTTAAAATATTTCAGCAAAATAGAACTAAAATAGAAGGACAGACAAAGTAAGACTGGGAAAATATCAATCATTGTTGAAGCTGGGTGACAGTGATGACACTATCCTCTCTACTTTTATCAAAGTTTTAAATTGTCCGTAATAAACTGCTACACAAAATGATAATAAAGACTAAATAATTGTATGTCTGTCACACTGTGAAAGAAATACATATTTCTTTTGTCTTCATCTATAGTTCCTGGCATAGAGCTCCTAGAAAAACTTGTTTCCTAAATGATAGGTGCTGGGAGCATTTTTGTTCAAACACTTGGTGCTGGGAGCATCTTTGGTTCAAATTTTTGGTCTTTGACCTCAGTTCTTAACACAGACTTCCTAAATCCCTTGGAATTTCCAGGGTGATAGGAGTATCTTTTGTTCTAATGAGGTGACGTTTGTTAGGTACCTAGATGGGAGCTGGTCACCAGAAAGACCGAGCCCTGATTACAAGTTTGGAACTTTCAGCCCTACCCAACCATCTTCCAGTGAGGAGAGAGTGGCTACAGGTTGAGTTTCCCCTGCCTGTGAGATGATTTTTCCTTTGCCTGTGAGATGAAGCATCCATAAAAATCTCTCAACTGTGAGGTTCAGGGAGCTCATGGGGCGGTGAACACATTTATGAGCCAGGAGGGTGGCACACCCCAACTCCACAGAGAAAAAAGATCCTTGTTCTATCCACTTTTTCATCTGACTGTTCATCTGTATCCTTTGTAATAAACCAGTCAAGCAAGTGTTTCCCTGAGTTCCATGAGCCATCATGGCAAATTATCAAACCTGAGGAGGGGTCATGGGAACTCCCAATTTGTAGCCAAGTCGGATAGAAGTGTGTATAATCTAGGGACCCGCTACATGTCACTGGTATCTGAAGTGGAGAGCACTCTTGTGTGACTGAGCTTTTAACCTCTGGAGTCTGCACTAACTCCAGGTAGTGTCATAATTGAATTGTAGAACACCCAGGTGGTAACCAGAGAATTGGAGAACTGGCTGGTGTGGGAAAAAAACTCAACACATCTGGTGTCAAAAGTGTTGTGTGAGAATGTAGTAGAGAGAAAATAGGAGCAAGTTTTGTTCCTTTCTAGTGTAATAACCATTTACAATGTGAAGTGAAAGGGGAACACATTTTTATTTGAGGGTAATTATGTGCGCTTACACATACACAGAAAAATATGACTAAATATATCAAAATGTTAACAATTTTGTGTCACGTGGCTGGTTAGAAGAAAGACATTCGGCCAGGCGCAGTGGCTCACGCCTGTAATCCCAGCACTTTGGGAGGCCAAGGTGGGCAGATCGCCTGAGGTCCGGAGTTTGAGACCAGCCTGACCAACATGGAGAAACTCCATCTCTGCTAAAAATGCAAAATTAGCCAAGCATGGTGGCACATGCCTATAGTCCCAGCTACTTGGGAGGCTGAGGCAGGAGAATCGCTTAAACCTGGGAGGCAGAGGTTGTGGTGAGCCAAGATCGCATCATTACACTCCAGCCCGGGCAACAAGAGAGAAACTCCATCTCAAAAAAAATGAAAAAAAAAATAAAGACGTTCGTCTTTTATGACTTTCTTTATAATGTAGTTATTTCCACAATGATGAGGAGGAGGATGATGACAGAGCAATCCATAAGGGGAGAGGTTCCTCCATTCTCTAAGGCATCTACTCTTCACATTTTCCTAATAAAACAGAATGGTTACTCCAAAATAGAGTACAATTCTACAGTCAAATTGTTTTCTAATATAGCATTTTTATTTCAAATGCTTTTCACTTCAAAGGTTTTTATTATATTTTTAAATTTCAAATCCAATTTTCTCTCTTTTCACGTTTTGTACAAGCCAATAGAACAATTACTGAACATGCCAAGAATTCAAATACCTATGGTCAATATCTTGTCTTAGTAGAATTTTTAAGTTCCTCGAAAGCAAGGTCCACTGCACATAAACAAAATGAAATATTGGTAAAATTAATAAATCAGGGGACAATAAAACCAAATTTCCCACCTTATAATAACATCTTATCATAAAGAAATAGAATTTGTCCCAATAAACACACAAATTTCTGGTAGTGATCTTCACTATGTTAACACTGGTATATATTCCTTTCAGATACACAACTTTGATAGAAGAAGCCTTATGCTCCCTAGCAAACACCTGACTGGACTTAACCAAAAACAGGGATAGGTGGCAAGGGAGTGCTGACGTAGCCAGTAATCAATGATTAAAATTATTATTATTATTATCATCATTATTATAATTATTATTTTGAGATGGAGTCTTGCTCTGTCGCCCAGGCTGGAGTGCAGTGGCGTGATCTCGGCTCACTGCAACCTCCGCCTCCTGGGTTCAAGCGATTCTCCTGCCTCAGCCTCCCAAGTAGCTGGGATTACAGGTGCCCCCCCCACCGCGCCCAGCTAGTTTTTGTATTTTTAGTAGAGATGGGGTTTCACCATCTTGACCAGGCTGGTCTCAAACTTCTGACCTCATGATCCACCCACCTCAGCCTCCCAAAGTGCTGGGATTATAGGCATGAGCCATTGCGCCCAGCCTAAAATTATTATTTTTTAAAGTAAACATTCCACACACACATATACCTACATTTGACTTTTCTTGTTTTGGAAGGGAGAAAAGAGGAATAGATACTTGGAGTGCAGTTAGGAAAAATCACTAACCAATGATACATTATTCCATCCTATATAGATCATAAATATATTAATTTAATTACCAAGAACAGGCACATATCCAACCTACTTCATCAGGTGTTCAAAGAGAAAATACAGCTGGGAACGGTGGCTCACCGTGTAATCCTAACACTTTGGGAGGCCAAGGCAGGCAGATTACCTGAGCTCAGGAGTTCGTCTGAGACCAGCCTGGCCAACATGGTGAAACCCCATCTCTACTAAAAATAAAAAACTTAGCCAGGCATGGTGGTGGGCGCCTGTAATAACAGCTACTTGGGAGGCTGAGGCAAGAGAATCGCTTGAACCCGGGAGGCAGAGGTTGCAGTGAGCCAAGACCGCACCACTGCACTCCAGCCTGGGCAACAAAAGCGAGACTCCATCTCAAAAAATATATAAAAACAAACAAAAAAAATGAGAAAATGTATGTAGAATACTTTTAAATTTAAATTACTTAAGTGTAAGATATGTGAGTGACCTTAATTACCGAGAACAGATCATCAGGAATTTTTCAGTCCTTCAATCCTTTATTTTTGCAAGCCACTTTAAGTAAATCTTAACACTATTTCCATGGACTAACAGTTCGCAAGTCACTTTTTTGTTTTTGTTTTGTTTTGTTTTGTTTTGTTTTGTTGAGACAGAGTCTGGAGCTCCGCCTCCCAGGTTC